AGAACTGGCAGAGACAGAACCCCAGTCAGAGCAGACATCAGGGGGCTAAGACAGGGAGAAAACCAAGTCAGAGAGATGGAGGAAGGGAGGGAGCAATGCAGATGAAGAATAAAGTACTCACCAGCTCAGCAGAACCAAGCAGATCTCACAGACAGGACTCCAGTCAAGCCAGGCCAAACAGGGCCCTAAAATGGGAGAAAGACACGTCAGAGACATGGAAGATGGGAGGGAGCAATGCAGAGAGAGAATAGATGACTCACCAGCTCAACAGACCCAAGCAGACCTCCCAGACCCAACACATAACCAAGGCAGAACCTAGAAACAGACAAGAGATAAAACAGGGAGAAACGAGAACAAGAACAGCTAGAGGACAAAAGAGGAGTGAGCACAGAATCAAGGAGGTGAGGGAGCACTCACCTGCTAGCCAGAGGCTAGCAAAATCTTGAAGAGAGGGACAGAAAGATCTCACACAGAGCAAGCTCTGTGCTCCAACGACCCGGCCACCCGAAGTGGCAATGTCGCAGGCATCGCTGGCTCAAGACCACCGCTCTAAATCGGTGCACCGAGTAGGCATGGTACAGGAGCACAGGGACTGGGGGGTGGGGGGCAGCCTCTCACTCAACGCTGACTCCGGCCGGAAGCCAGCGAAGAGAGTGGAGAGAGGACAAGAGCCCCCGAGAGAAGAGAGGGGATGGCGGCGACGATTTTGTGTGCAGGAGCCACTGGCTTAGTAAGCATTCCCACATAGGCTGTGAGGCCCAGAGGCTGCTCTATGTCACCTCCTCCTCACCCTCGACCTCGCCGTCCCGCCGTCCGACCTCCTCCCCGACACCCTCAACGCGCCATGGACGTCCCAATGGACGTCCTCGGCCCCTCGATTCGTATCCCGGCGCCGCAGTACAAGACCGCGGCGCCCGTCGTCTGCCGGTGAGCCCCGGCCCCTTCCCTCGTGCGCACTGCCCCACCCCTCCTCCCACAGCACGCACGCCCACACACCCCGAACGCGTACAAGACGCGGCGGGGCGTGTCCCTCGTCCCTCCTCGCCCGTAGCCCTCGCCCCGCGCTCAAAACGGGCGGCCGTATGGCCGTCCGCGCGCGCGCGCTGCCCACCGTCCTCCTCCACCGTCTCCCGCCCTCCTCCTTCTCCGTCCCGCCGTCTGACCGCCTCCCCGACACCCTCAACACGCCCAGGGCGTCCCAAAGGACGCCCTGGGCCTCCCGATTCGTATCCCGGCGCCGCGGTTCAAGACCGCGGCGCCCGTCGCCCTCCTGGTGAGCCCCGTGCCCCGTCCTCCTGCGCGCTGCCCCGTCCCACCTCCCACAGCGCGCCCACACGCCCCGAACACGTACAAGACGCGGCGGGGCGTGTCCCCCGTCCCTCCTCGCCCATCTCCCGCGCCCCGCGCTCAAAACGGGCGGCCCTACGGCCGTCCGCGCGGGCGCCTTCCTCCTCCTCTTCCTCCTCCTCCTCGCCGCCCACGACCTCGCCGTCCCGCCGTCCGACCTCCTCCCAGACACCCTCAACACGCCCATGGCGTCCCAAAGGACGCCCTGGGCCCTTCAATTCGTATCCCGGCGCCGCGGTTCAAGACCGCGGCGCCCGTCGTCTGCTGGTGAGCCCCGTGCCCCGTCCCTCCTGCGCGCTGCCCCGTCCCACCTCCCACAGCGCGCCCACACGCCCCGAACACGTACAAGACGTGGTGGGGCGTGTCCTCCGTTCTTGCTCGCTCTTCGCCCACGCCCCGCGCTCAAAACGGGCGGCCGTATGGCCGTCCGCGCGCGCGCGCTGCCCACCGTCCTCCTCCACCGTCTCCCGCCCTCCGCCTTCTCCGTCCCGCCGTCTGACCGCCTCCCCGACACCCTCAATGCGCCGAGGACGTCCCAATGGACGTCCTCGGCCCTTCGATTCGTATCCCGGCGCCGCGGTTCAAGACCGCGGCGCCGGTCGTCTCCCGGTAAGCCCCGTGCCCCGTCCTCCTGCGCGCTGCCCCGCCCGTCCTCCCACAGCGCGTCCGCACGCCCCGGCCGCTTAGAAGGCGCGGCGGGGCGTGTCCCCCGTCCCTCCTCGCCCATCTCCCGCGCCCCGCGCTCAAAACGGGCGGCCGTATGGCCGTCCGCGCGCGGGCGCCGTCCACCCTCTTCCTCCACCGTCTCCCGCCCTCCGACTTCCCCATCCCGCCTCCCACCTGCCTGCCCAACAACCTCAACGCGCCCAGGGCGTCCCAAAGGACGCCCTGGGCCCTTCAATTCGTATCCCGGCGCCGCGGGTCAAGACCGCGGCGCCCGTCGTCGTCCCGGTGAGTCCCCTGCCCCGTCCCTCCTGCGCGATGCCCCGTCCCACCTCCCACAGTGCGCCTGCACGCCCCGACCGCGTACAAGACGCGGCGGGGCATGTACCTCGACCCTCCTCGGCCGTCGTCCGCGCCCCACGCTCAAAACGGGCGGCCGTATGGCCGTCCGCGCCCGCGCGCTGCCCGCCCTCCTCCTCCTTCTCCTCCTCGCCCTCGACTTCGCCGTCCTGCCGCCCTCCTGCCTCCCCGACCACCTCAACGTGCCCAGGGCGTCCCAATGGACGCCCTGGGCTCTGCAATTCGCACCCCGGCGCCGCGGTTCAAGACCGCGGCGCCCGTCGTCGTCCCGGTGAGTCCCCTGCCCCGTCCCTCCTGCGCGATGCCCCGTCCCACCTCCCACAGTGCGCCTGCACGCCCCGACCGCGTACAAGACGCGGCGGGGCATGTACCTCGACCCTCCTCGGCCGTCGTCCGCGCCCCGCGCTCAAAACGGGCGGCCTTACGGCCGTCCGCGCCCGCGCGCTGCCCGCCCTCCTCCTCCTTCTCCTCCTCGCCCTCGACTTCGCCGTCCTGCCGCCCTCCTGCCTCCCCGACCACCTCAACGTGCCCAGGGCGTCCCAATGGACGCCCTGGGCTCTGCAATTCGTATCCCGGCGCCGCGGTACAAGACCGCGGCGCCCGTCGTCTGCCGGTGAGCCCCGCTGCCCCGTCCCTCCTGCGCGATGCCCCGTCCCACCTCCCACAGTGCGCCTGCACGCCCCAACCGCGTACAAGACGCGGCGGGGCATGTACCTCGACCCTCCTCGGCCATCGCCCGCTCCCCGCGCTCAAAATGGGCAGTAGTATGGCCGTCCACGTGGACGCTGTTAGCCCTCCTCCTCCTCTTTGCCTTTGAATTCCCTCTCCCATGGTCTAGTTGTCACCCAGACCACCTCCATATGACAATAGAAAGCAATCACTACAACCCTGTCTTTTAGATCTTGTAGTAGATACCACTCTTAACAAACAGGTCTGTTGAAGTTGTCAGAGTGAGTGCATGTATGAGGGATAAAACACAAACCTCTGAGATTCTCAAGGCTGAAGGACTTGTTCTGAATCAAACCCACTGCAGCCTCACCCACATCACTCCAGATCTCTTCCAAGTGAATGACCTCATCCTGACGCTGGATTCTCCACCATAGGTTGGCCTCTCCTGTGCCCTCCATCTTGTCCTTCTTCCTCCGCACCTCAGAAATCTCCAGCTGCAGAACCTCCAGGGTGGGGATGGCTCTGGCTAGCACCTCAGCCAGCTTCTTGCAAGCAATCTGACCATCCATGTTGAGCCTTTCAAACAGGTCCACAGAAAAGCCAATGCTGAGATGGATGAGAGGAACTGGAGAGAGCCTCTCAGCCAGAATGAACTACACATAAATGTAAGAATCTATCAGAGATGGGTGCTGAGAAACATACCAAAATGACATCAAATTTACTTCGACTCTGCTCCACGAAGTTCTCGATCGTTAGAGACCTGACTTTGCACTCCGCTGCTCTGGTAAGCATCTCACATGGGACAGTGAGACTATCTTCATCATCCTCCCACCAGAGTTCAATGAAGGAAAGGGAGGCCAAGGACTTGATATGATCGAGAATAGCGAAAGGCAACTCCTCGCCTTGGTAGTCGGCTTCTGTGGAAGGGATATACCAGGTCTGATCAAATCGGAGGGAGTCAATGTGGGAGAAGGAACGGTCTTCATCATTATCGATGTATTGAAAATCTGGATCAAGGTTGAAGTCGATATTGATGGTGAGAAGGTGGGGCAAGGGATGAGCCCACAGGACTGCAAAGGTCCTGTCGCAGTAGACAGAGAGATGAAGAAGGGAAGGGGTAGGAGGGACCAAAGACGGCTGCCACAAACAGAGTTCAAGGGACTTGAGATGGTTGAGGTCTAAAAGAGGAGACTGAACACCAAGTGTCTCAATGGCCATCCAATCCGCCAACTCAGACTCAAGAGCCTGCACGTACTCGCTCCTATATCCTGACAAGGATAGGGAAGAGAGTTGGGTGACTTTGGAGAGGGAGAGGATGAAGGAATGAAGAATCCCCCAGTCTTCAGCTGTAATGTCGGATGGGATGGTGCCATCCTGGAGAGACACAGACAGGGAGGAGAGACGGGGAAGTTCAGAGAGGAGGGGAGTGAGTGTGGCAACACTGGGGAGAGTGGCGGAGGTCAAAGAGAGGGTAGTTAACTTGAAAATGAAGGAGATGTGGATGATGTGGAGGTTCTCTCCAGGGTTGAGAACAACAAGCTCAGAGAGACCTGGTGAGCTGCTGAAGAGGCCATGGAGAACTGAATGGGGGATGAGATCGGGGTTTTCAGGAGTGATAAGAGACTTGATGTAGTGGCATGGAGGATAGGGAAGGTAGGGATGGATGGAAACGAGCCACTGCACCCATGCTAGAGCATTGGTTTTGTTTTTGTTGTACCACTCTTGAAGGTGGACGGTGGCCAATGCTGGGCGCATAGCAACTTCGTACATGGTCTTGGAGGTTTGTGCAACTTTAACAACAGAGGAGGGGGGAAGGTGGGTGCAGACAGCGTGAATAATGTCATGGTTGAGGGACATGGTGGATGATGACTGAGAAGAAGGCTGTAGGGCAGTGTGGTTGAGGTAGGAGGCAAGAGGGGTATAGGAGCCTTGAAGAAAGCCTGCCTTACAGCCTTTCTAACATGGGCGTCTCCCACTCTCCTCCTTCTCCATCTCCTACCATCCACCTTCCCCTTGTCACCACCATCAAACCTCCCCGACCACCTCAACGTGCCCAGGGCGTCCCAATGGACGCCCTGGGCTCTGCAATTCGCACCCCAGCGCCTCGGTTCAAGACCGCGGCGCCCGTCGTCGTCCCGGTGAGTCCGCTGCCCCGTCCCTCCTGCGCGATGCCCCGTCCCACCTCCCACAGTGCGCCTGCACGCCCCAACCGCGTACAAGACGCGGCGGGGCATGTACCTCGACCCTCCTCGGCCGTCGTCCACGCCCCGCGCTCAAAACGGGCGGCCTTACGGCCGTCCGCGCCCGCGCGCTGCCCGCCCTGCTGCTGCTCCTCCTCCTCGCCCTCGACCTCGCCCTCCCACCGTCCGACCCCCTCCCCGACCACCTCAACGCGCCGAGGACATCCCAATGGACGCCCTGGGCTCTGCAATTCGCACCCCAGCGCCTCGGTACAAGACCGCGGCGCCCGTCGTCGTCCCGGTGAGTCCGCTGCCCCGTCCCTCCTGCGCGATGCCCCGTCCCACCTCCCACAGTGCGCCTGCACGCCCCGACCGCGTACAAGACGCGGCGGGGCATGTACCTCGACCCTCCTCGGCCGTCGTCCACGCCCCGCGCTCAAAACGGGCGGCCTTACGGCCGTCCGCGCCCGCGCGCTGCCCGCCCTCCTCCTCCTCCTCCTCCTCGCCCTCGACCTCGCCGTCCTGCCGCCGTCCTGCCTCCCCGACCACCTCAACGTGCCCAGAGCGTCCCAATGGACGCCCTGGGCTCTGCAATTCGTATCCCGGCGCCGCGGTACAAGACCGCGGCGCCCGTCGTCTGCCGGTGAGCCCCGCTGCCCCGTCCCTCCTGCGCGATGCCCCGTCCCACCTCCCACAGTGCGCCTGCACGCCCCAACCGCGTACAAGACGCGGCGGGGCATGTACCTCGACCCTCCTCGGCCGTCGTCCACGCCCCGCGCTCAAAACGGGCGGCCTTACGGCCGTCCGCGCCCGCGCGCTGCCCGCCCTGCTGCTGCTCCTCCTCCTCGCCCTCGACCTCGCCCTCCCACCGTCCGACCCCCTCCCCGACCACCTCAACGCGCCGAGGACATCCCAATGGACGCCCTGGGCTCTGCAATTCGCACCCCAGCGCCTCGGTACAAGACCGCGGCGCCCGTCGTCTGCCGGTGAGCCCCGCTGCCCCGTCCCTCCTGCGCGATGCCCCGTCCCACCTCCCACAGTGCGCCTGCACGCCCCAACCGCGTACAAGACGCGGCGGGGCGTGTCCCTCGTCCCTCCTCGGCCATCGCCGCGCCCCGCGCTCAAAACGGGCGGCCGTATCGCCGTCCGCGCCCGCGCGCTGCCCGCCCTCCTCCTCCTTCTCCTCCTCGCCCTCGACTTCGCCGTCCTGCCGCCGTCCTGCCTCCCCGACCACCTCAACGTGCCCAGAGCGTCCCAATGGACGCCCTGGGCTCTGCAATTCGTATCCCGGCGCCGCGGTACAAGACCGCGGCGCCCGTCGTCTGCCGGTGAGCCCCGCTGCCCCGTCCCTCCTGCGCGATGCCCCGTCCCACCTCCCACAGTGCGCCTGCACGCCCCAACCGCGTACAAGACGCGGCGGGGCATGTACCTCGACCCTCCTCGGCCGTCGTCCACGCCCCGCGCTCAAAACGGGCGGCCTTACGGCCGTCCGCGCCCGCGCGCTGCCCGCCCTCTCCTCCTCCTCCTCCTCGCCCTCGACCTCGCCCTCCCACCGTCCGACCCCCTCCCCGACCACCTCAACGCGCCGAGGACATCCCAATGGACGTCCTCGGCCCCTCGATTCGCACCCCGGCGCCGCGGTACAAGACCGCGGCGCCCGTCGTCGTCCCGGTGAGTCCGCTGCCCCGTCCCTCCTGCGCGATGCCCCGTCCCACCTCCCACAGTGCGCCTGCACGCCCCGACCGCGTACAAGACGCGGCGGGGCATGTACCTCGACCCTCCTCGGCCGTCGTCCACGCCCCGCGCTCAAAACGGGCGGCCTTACGGCCGTCCGCGCCCGCGCGCTGCCCGCCCTCCTCCTCCTCCTCCTCCTCGCCCTCGACCTCGCCCTCCCACCGTCCGACCCCCTCCCCGACCACCTCAACGCGCCAAGGACGTCCCAATGGACGTCCTCGGCCCCTCGATTCGCACCCCGGCGCCGCGGTACAAGACCGCGGCGCCCGTCGTCGTCCCGGTGAGTCCGCTGCCCCGTCCCTCCTGCGCGATGCCCCGTCCCACCTCCCATAGTGCGCCTGCACGCCCCAACCGCGTACAAGACGCGGCGGGGCGTGTCCCTCGTCCCTCGTCGCCCATCACCAACGTCCCGCGCGCAAAACGGGCGGCCGTATGGCGTCCGCGCCCGCGCGCTGCCCGCCCTGCTGCTGCTCCTCCTCCTCGCCCTCGACCTCGCCCTCCCACCGTCCGACCCCCTCCCCGACCACCTCAACGCGCCG